GATATATGGACAGTGAAGATAAATAGTAATTAGTAGATAGACAGTGGTGAATATAAATAGTGATCAGTTTAAAGACATTCGAAGTATATATAACTTAAAATAGTATTGTTTAAAATAAATAAGTGTTTAAATAAATTATTAATAAATAAACTGTTGTTTGAAAATAAACAAACATCACATTGGTGTCAGAAGAGGGATAGTGTAAATAAATAGTGGACAATAATGGTTAAAAAACTGTGTGATTTAAAAGTGGCCGAATTGCGTCGAGAATTAGAAGATCGTGATCTGGAGACGACAGGAAAGAAAGCAGAGCTGGCAGAAAGGCTTAAAGAAGCACTAGAAAATGAAAGTTTGGATTCGGAAACGTTTTTATTTTTGAATGATACGTCTTCTATAATTTCTTCAATTTCCGATATGAAAAACGATATGTGTTCTTTAAAAACTGATATTTCTTCTGATATGTCTGCTTTAAAAATCGATATTTCTTCTGACATTTCTTCTTTAGATAATAAAGTTTCTTCCATGGAAACTAAGGTTTCTTCTGATGTTTCTTCTTTTAAAAATGACATTACCTCCTTAGAAGAAAAGGTGTCTTCTGACATATCTTCTTTAAAAGATGAGATTTCTTCCGACTTGGAAAACAAAATGTCTTTTATGGAAAATAAATTTTCGTCTAATATTTCTTCTTTAGAAGAAAAAGTGTCTTCCGAAATGTCTTCTATGAAAAACGAAATTTCTTCTATGGATGATAAGATTTCTTCCGTTGAGAATAAAATAAAAGAAATGGAAAAGAAGATTGAAGAAATGGAACACGTAGACCAAACCAAGAACGGTAAAATAAAGTGCCATGAGGTGGAGTCGAAGTTGAAATTGGAAGGAGCTGTAAACTCTCCTTGTGTTAAAGCCCCAACTTTTGACGGGAAGATGTCATGGACGAACTACCTTAAGCAGTTCGAAACAGCTGCCAGAGCAAACGAGTGGTCTGAACGAGAGAAGGCAATAAATTTGACCATCGCCCTTCGATGAGACGCTTTAGATGTCCTTCAGACTATACCCGTGGAAGAGACAGATGATTTTGAACAACTGAAAAAGAGACTCAACATGGGATATGGCCACGAACACTTGGAGCAGGTGTACCGATTACAGTTAACGAATCGCAAACAGAAACATGACGAGAGCCTTCAAGAATTCAAATTAGATATTGCGAAGATGGTGCGATTTGCCTACCCATCAGCTCCGGAATACATGATTCAATGTTTGGCTGTTCAAGCATTTGTAGATGGACTTCGTGACCATGAAATGCAAAGGACACTTCGTTTAGCTCATCACAAAACATTGGTCAATGTCTTGTCTGCTGCTCTCGAATATGAAGCGGCTACGCTGGCTTCTGGTGGATACAGTGAAGTAAGAACTGTACAAGAAGAATAGGGAAGTAAATTGGACCAATTGTTTCACATGATAAAAAAACCTTATTGAGAAGCAACCGAAGGCTATTAGGTGCTGGAATTGCGGTGCAATGGGAAAAGTAAGCAGTTCGCGCAAACGGCCAAAGAACACTACGAATCGAAAAACCGTGCCGGTGGCTGTACAGGAAGGAACGGTGTTACCTGAAAGTAGTGAAACGATAAGAGAAAGGCGGTTGCAAGAAACTGTAGAGAAGGCAACGCCTGTCATGGCGGAACCTTCGAAGCGCAATGAAGGTGTTGGTCAAGGAACTCTGATTGGAAAGGGGTTGGCCACATCTGTTAAAGAAGTTACAGTACGAAGAACGTCGGTTGTCAGTGATGAGTGGGCCCCTGTCAAACTTAGGGAAGAACAAGAGAACGATCCCGTTTTAAAGAGGATAAGAAAATGGAAAGAGGAAAATCGTCGATCCACTTGGCAAGAAGTATCGAAACTCTCTCCAGTAGTTAAATCATATTGGGCTCAGTGGGACTCCTTTATCCTGGAAGATGGCTTATTAAAGCGAGTCCTTGAAAATGATGAAGGTTCAGAGAACAGAAGACAGTTGGTCATTCCAAGAAGTAGAGTAGCTGAAGTACTCCGTCAGTTACACGACAGTCCATCAGGAGGGCATTTCGGTGTTAGGAAAACCCTTCAGAGAGTTCGGGAAAGGTTTTACTGGATGAACAGTTCCGATGATGTAAAGGACTGGTGTAAGAAATGTACCACCTGTGCTGTGAGTAATGGACCTCAACAAAAAAGGAAGGCTCCCATGAAGCAATACAACGTTGGTAGCCCATTTGAGAGGATCGCCTTAGATATTTCTGGACCATTCCCCGCGACCGAGGATGGTAATAAATACATTTTGATGGTTATGGATTATTTTTCAAAGTGGGTGGAAGTCTATGCCATTCCAAATCAGGAGGCCGCAACTGTTGCAGATGTATTAATAAAAGAGTTTATCTGTCGATTTGGAGTGCCCTTGGAGATCCACAGTGACCAAGGCAGAAATTTTGAAAGTCAACTTTTCCGTGGAATCTGTGACAGACTAGGCATGAAGAAAACCAGAACCACAGCATTGCATCCACGATCCGATGGAATGGTAAAGCGAATGAATAAGACCATTGGCAAACATCTGTCAAAAGTGGTTTCAAACCATCAGCGAGATTGGGATCAGTATCTCTCGCTCTTTGCAATGGCTTATAGATCCGCTGTCAATGAATCAACAGGCCAAACACCAGCAAAGGTCTTGTTTGGGCGTGAGATGAGACTACCGTGCGACCTCGAGTTTGGATGCCGACCTGGAGAAGATGTAGCTGGTGAAGATTATGTGATCCAGTTACGAAGAAGAATGGACGACATGCATGAATTAGTTCGCTCCCATCTTCAAATCGCCAGCGACAGAATGAAGAAGCGATACGATACCCAAGCAACAGAAGGATGTTTCAAAGAAGGCGACAAAGTCTGGATCTATAACCCAAAAAGACAAAAGGGTTATTCTCCGAAGCTTCAAAGGTCTTGGGAAGGTCCGTATCTCATCAAGAATAAAATAAATGATGTAATTTACCGTATAAGTAAGATCCCAAACGGTAAACCAAAGGTAGTGCACCAAGACAGGCTGGCGCCATTTGAGGGTGACCATGAAGAAGAAGTAAACCAACTTCAAGAAAGACCAGACCTGGTCTTTGAAGAATTTATGGGTACATATGGAGGTACTGGAAAGGCTAGATATGGTGTTACGATCGAGCAACAACAAGATCTGCTCTCGCTTCCGAAAGACTACTCGCTGGTCAATAGTACTTCCGCCAGCATCAACGACGCGCGAGGACTGGCATATGTGTTCCGTAAGAAGTTTGGTCGACTGGTAGAACTTCAATGTCAGTTACCAGCCCCTGGAAAAGCCTTGAAACTTCAAGACGGGTCACGGTATCTTTTTTTTATTTAATAACGAAGAACACCTTCCAAGACCGATCCACCTATCAGGATGTATGGGAAGCATTACTTAGTCTAAGGGAGCACGTACGGGAGTCCAATGTACAAAAACTAGCCATGCCGAAGATAGAAGGAAATCAGCTGGATTGGAGGATCATTAGGAACATGGTGGAAGTAATCTTTCAAGATACCGGAGTCCAAATACTGGTCTGCAGCCATTTGCCCAGTGCCCAGTTTACAGCGAAGACAGTCCCTTGTTACTTCCATGCAACTGGAAATTGTAAAAGGGGGTTTAGTTGCAGATACAACCATTCCATTTTAGTTTGGTAAGAGTTCCAGGAGGAACTATCTCTTAAGGAGGGGGCAATGTAATGTGAGCCATTTCATTATTCAGTCATGCTCTAATACTCCAAGTCCCTCTCTGTATTATTTGGCCTTTGAGGCCTAACTTGTCCGCTTATTATACATAATTAAACCCCTTAAGACCAAACCTATGGGACGACTATGGAGGAGACACTTTCGCGAACATTCCAGAGTCAACGAGATACTATTTCTAGAACGTGATAACGTTTCTGGTACATACTGGCAATTTTGGTGGGGGAGCATTCTAGACCACCAATTTGTATATAAATTGGTGGAGGAGAGCCATCAGAATCAGTTGATATATGGACAGTGAAGATAAATAGTAATTAGTAGATAGACAGTGGTGAATATAAATAGTGATCAGTTTAAAGACATTCGAAGTATATATAAATTAAAATAGTATTGTTTAAAATAAATAAGTGTTTAAATAAATTATTAATAAATAAACTTCACAATACAACCAAAATTTCTGCGGATTTGTGCTTCCAAAATGGGCATAAACGAAATAGATAATAATTATAAAAATATTCTTCTCCAATTAAACATGCAAAGATTGGAGCCCAGGAGAATAGAATTTGACTTATGTTTTTATATAAAATTTTAAATGGAATTATATCCAATTCCGAACTATTGAACTTGATACTTTTTAATGTAAATGAAAGATGTTCACGGAATGTTGAACTATTTCGTATACCTTTTCATTATACTAACTATGGAAAAAATGAGACAATATCCAGAATTTTACGATTAACTAACAAATATCAGAATATTAATATTGTCCATAACTCTCTTCCTGCTTTTAAAAGAGCTATAAAAAGTTTACATGTTAATATGTGATTGTTGAATATTTTATTTTTTTTTATTTTGCTTATATATTTTGTTATACATTTTTTATATTTTCTATTTTATTTTATTTTTTTTTACTCGCTGTAATGTTAGTCATTTTACATTTGTTGTGGAACTTTATATAATAATCTGTAAAATGGGTTTTGAACCATAAATAAACAAATAAATAAATTTTATCAGAAGAATAGAGTTTATTTTTATTTTTTGTAAATAATATAACTTTTTTCATCTAAAATTTAATCTACGAAGTGCGTATATACCATTTTATTTGCGCCGTGACCATATAATATAGAAACTTATTTTGCAAAGTACGCTTATGGAATCTGACGTTATATCCCCCCTTTTACTGCGCTTCCCTGTTATTTAGACTACAGTTGTAACAATAAAGTGACAGTGCCCGCTGCAAATCTATAGGAATTGACAAAATATAAGTATTTTGACAATGACATAAACGATCATTGTCAAAATTTCTGTTATTAGTAATATACTTAAGGAACGATGAAATGATGCAACACATCGTCTAATTTAAATTTATACATAGGGGCAGTCCAGTTAAAAAAAAATTAATACAGATATTTGCAAGAGGTACATAAACCTTGCACCTAATCGAGCTATGAGAATTTGAACAGGGTAAGTACAGTTAGTTCTTGTAATATATTATTAGTACGAGGTGTTATTCAGTACTTCTTTTACCTATTATTCTGATGCATTTGTTTTTAATAACTATCGCCAAAGTTAACTAAAAATACATTTATTTAGAGTAAACTTGTTTCTGGTTAAACATACAAATACGAGAATTTTTGCATACTTTCTTAATTCAAATCTTACTACTCTCCATTTTTGACTGAGAAAAATCCAAAACCACCATAGTTAATATGAATCATCTTCTATCAAACCCCGATAAATCCATTTTTCTATCAAATTGAACAATTTATAGTGGCCAAATACCCTTAGTTTGTGATGTATCGATCTCTATCATATTTAAGAGTTAAAAATGTTATACCTTATGAGTTAAGAGCAGGCAGCAGCTCTCGGTCTAAGGTACGAATTTAATGGTTTCTATATATTGATAGTAAAGTCAGACGTAAAGAGCAATAATCTTTGGTTGATATGTAAAATATTTTAAAAATCTACAACATCGAAGAGGTCGAATATCGTGGACCACACTATATATATTATTATAATTTTTATTTTAGGATAGTCCTGCACAAAGTCCATTGTTCATTTACAATGCATTTCCTAAAGCTGAAGTTTAACAATAAGACAGATAAAGAGGCTGCTTTAAAATTTCAACTCCCCGAAGGTACGTCAAGATAGTCTGCTTGAAATATTTTACGAACGATACATCTGACTGACCGAAAAACCAGAAAAAACGATGAAAATTACCTTTTTGTCTCACTTATATCGATATCCAACGTCGTCACTCAGCTCTTTAACATATATTGGGTAACTAATTTTTCACTTTTAGACACTAATTTTTTAACCAACGAAAAAATGCAATCAAGACAATCATCCACTTCTGGCGTTCTAATGGTTGGCCCCAATTTTAGGGTTGGAAAGAAAATAGGCAGTGGAAATTTTGGGGAGCTCAGATTGGGAAAAAATTTATACAATAACGAACATGTGGCAATCAAATTGGAACCTCTTAAGTCTAAAGCGCCTCAACTGCATCTTGAATATAGATTCTATCAAATGCTTGGAGAACATGAAGGTATGTTAAAAAAATTTAAAAATACATAACCAGTCTTTGCGAAAAATCGTTCAAACTGTATTGTTTTATAGAATCCGGGACAGATGCGCCCACACACATTTGTTACCGCGGTACATTTGAGACCCTCCCTTGATTTTTCAAATAATGGTTAAATTTAAGTGAGACAGTTGCGACCCTACCTCTATTAATGGGATACCTGCTAATGCCTACTAATAATGCATAAACGAAACAGGCGTCAAATAACAAAAAAAACTATAATAGTATTTTTTACAAGTCCGGTAGGTGACTTATTACAGTATGAGTTGTATATAAACGAGTACTGTAATAACTAGAGCTAGGAATATATGCAAAACGCCATATTTTGCATATGTTGCATATATATACAATTTTTGATTTTGAATGCATATATTGACATTTTGTTATTTTTTTGGCATATATCTGACGTACTAATTGGCTGGACATATTAAAATTATGAGTTTTGGTCCAAAATAATATTTTGTGAAATGCCTTTACAGGTCGATTTTTCTAAAATTTTGAAGGAACAACTTTTCCCTGTAATAAATTGCGGTTAATAGTGTAGGTACTTGAGAGGATTAAATTATAAACACCCTCCTTAAACCAACAAATTTTGCTAAATATCCTTTCAGGTAGTTGTATTAATATCTTCAAATTTCTAAATGACTCAGTTTACTTTCAACTTAATTTCAGTCTTTATTGTTGTGTTGTGTTAACCAGTGGGAAAAATGGCAAAATTAATTGAGTCGTGGTTAAAATCTTATTCAGATTTTGTTGTAGAAGATGATAACCAGGTGTTTTGTAAAACATGTTCTAAAATTGTAAGTACTTTTTTATTTTATATTTTATTTTGACCTTTCACAATGGTAAATCAAACGACAGTAAAATATTATTTCAACTCACAGTTAAACAAAAAAGTATGGCAACTTTACAACGTACGCATTTATTTAATTTAATTAAAACTTCAACATCTACAGGAATTTATTTGTTTTAGATTCCATGTAAAAAAAAGTTTCAAATCGACCAACACGTGAAAACACCCTCACATATAGCAAAGCAGAAATCTAAAGACACTCGCAGACAAAGTCAACTTCCCTTGAAACAATATTTAGAATCTGGATCGTCTAGAAGTGAACAAGCTATTTTTAATGAAGATTTATGAAAAGCTTTAGTGACTTCGAATATCCCTTTAATACGATTAAATAATCCAAATCTCCGATAATTTTTGCAAAAATACTATAAATTTAATATTCCGAAACAAAGTATATTACACAAACGTGGTGTTGACAGTTTGTACATTGAGACTCGTGAAAAAATTCGTGAGATTACCGTTGGAAACCATTTCTACATTATTGTGCATGAAACAACAGACTCTTGTGGTCGATATACAGGGTGTTATTGAAATACACGTACATATTAAAACTGGGTATTGCGCAGATCCCCACTGAATGTAGAAAAATATTATTTTTTTAAAATACCCCTTATTAAGGGAGTTATTAATTTTTGAAAATTAATTCTAAAACAAACGTACTTCACTGATATGTTGAGGATGACCTATATAAATAAGGTTTATTTACTTATTTTAAACATCAACAGTAATTAATATGCAAGTTTTTGTCAGATGATAAGAAAACTAGTCTTGTAAGAAATAACCATGTTGCCAAGATTTTCGAATTAATTTCTATTTCCGAAGACTGGTTTTTACTACCCTCGTTATCAAAAAACTAGAATATTTGATAAATGATTGTTTTTAAACTATACATTTTTGAAACTATAGATTATTAAAATTTTAGTTGATTTACGAATCTGGCTAACACGAGCGCGTCATTTCCAAGTTGGTAAAAAGTGTTGTTACGATTACTTTTAAATATTTTTTTACGATGCCACTATTTACGAATATTGAACTAACGGATATAGTGCTGGTTTATGGGGCAGCTGGAGAAAATTCTCGGCAAGCACAAATCCTGTATCGCGAACGGTTTCCAAATCGGAGAATTCCGAACTGTCGTACGTTTATTTCAACTGTTCAGCATCTAAGAGACCATGGAAAATTTGAGAGTGTCAATGCAGATCGAGGGAGAACAAGAACACAAAGAACATTGGCGGCCGAAGAAGAAATATTGGAAGCTGTTGAAAACCGGCCTCAATTAAGTTGTAGAAGACTAGGTCTTGAAATTGGAGTGTCCTCATTTGTTGTGTGGCGGACACTTAAAGAACAAGGTTTACATCCTTATCACATCCAAAAAGTCCAGGCCTTATATCCAGGTGATGAAGAAAAGAGAGTGGAGTTTTGTGAATGGATGATTCAAAAATGTGTTGATATTCCTGATTTTCTAAAAATATTATTGTATACTGACGAGGCTTCATTCACTCGTGATGGCGTGTTCAATATGCACAATACGCATATTTGGAGTGATGAAAATCCTCACGCCATTAGGGAAACTGGGCATCAAAGAAAATTTTCAATAAATGGGCTGGCATAATAGATCAGTATTTAATCGGGCCTTATGTTCTCCCGAACAGATTAAATGGGCCAGGATATCTCCACTTTTTAGAAGATATTTTGCCAGTACTCCTAGAAGAGATACCGTTACAATTAAGGCAACGGATGTGGTACCTACTAGATGGCACTCCTCCTCACTTTGATTTAAACGTACGGCAGTTTTTGAACATTAGATTTCCTCAAAAGTGGATAGGCAGAAATGGACCTACTAAGTGGCCTCCGAGATCTCCGGACTTAAATCCATGCGATTTCTTTTTGTGGGGTCACATGAAACAACTGGTTTATAATGAACCTATTAATAGTGTTGAACAATTAACCAATAAAGTTAATGCGGTAGCCGAGGAACTACGACAAAATCCAAGACTAATTTCTAATGTTCAAAGTTCTTTGGAAAGACGATTGCAAGTGTGTGTAAATAATAATGGACGGCATTTTGAACAATTACTGTAATAAACTTTATTTTGAATTAATTGGTTTTGCTACGGCAATAGTGCAATTTCTATGGGTAAGTTCAATTTCGATTTATTTTACTTCTTTAAATATGGAAACTAGTAGGTCGGAAAAGGGAACTCTTCCCCAATATTTAAATTTTAGAATTTGAAGTTAAAAGTGGTGCCAATCGTTTTTGGTCATTACATACTATTCCCCATTTTAATATGTACGTGTATTTCAATAACACCCTGTATAGCCCATTTAATTATAGGTTCATTACGCGAAGAAATGCAAATTGGTCCATATCTAATCGCTTCAAAGCAATTAGATAAAACAAATAACTTGACAATAACTCGTTTTATTCAGACAGAATTGTCTTCCTTTTTTCTTCCGGAAGCCGTTCCAACAGAAAAATGTTTATTGCTGTTATCCGATGCTGCCCCGTACATGGTAAAAGCCGCACAAAATTTAAAAATGTTTTATGAAAACTTAATCCATGTTACATGTTTGGCTCATGGCCTTAACAGAGTTGCAGAAGAAACTTTGCTTTAATAAATGATTTAAAAAAATATTTCTTAAAGCTCCTCTAAGAACTCAATTGTACAAAGAAAAATTTCCTGAATTACAGATGCCACCGGAACCTGTGATTACTCGGTGGGGTACCTGTGTTAAAGCTGCCTTTTCTTACGCAGATAATTATGAAAAAATTAAAGAAATCATATTTGATTTTGATGATTCATCTAAGGGAATATCTAATACAAAGAAGTTGTTTCAAAATCACATATTACCAAAGCAATTAGTGTTTTTAAAAAATTATGCATTTGTACCCAAAATTAAATTAGATTTAGAACAAAAAAATTTACCTTTGGTGACTTCCGTAAAATTTAATTAAGACGTTTGAATTATTATGTAAAAATGTCCAGGGCGATATTGGAAAGACGATTTTTCATAAATTTTCAAATGTAATTTTAAAAAATGAAGGATTTATTGTTTTAAGAAACCTTGCTAATATTTATTCTGGTAACTTTGAAGATATTAATACTATTCATCCAGATATTTCAGGAAAATTTAAGTTTGCACCTATTACTTCTGTAGATGTCGAAAGAAGTTTTTCTGTATACAAGTACATACTTACTGATAGGAGACAATCATTTAATACAGATAATTTAGAAAAACATCATTCGTTTTATAATAATGTTGATTTGTAAAATTTTATTTACAAATGTTGATTTGTAAATAAAATTAGTTAATAATTAAATAATCATTAAGTATTATATTAGGTATTGTAAAATATTTCGATCAAATAACAAATTACTCTTATTGCATATGCTCTGCATATTTTTCAATTTTTTACGCATATATTAAAGTATTTAACACTTAACGGACGTGTGTCGTATGATATTTTATTTCATCCTGTCTTTATAATACTTTTTAAAAAGAATAAATAGATATGTTGATTAAAATTTAAAAAAAAATGGCTATTTTACATCATTATCTTAACTTCAATTGAGCCGTTGTTTCCAAAGTTAAATATGATTGCTATTTACTGTAAAATATTTAAGATCGAAATATTTGTGTTTGAAATAAAATAACAAGTAATTGTTTCTAAAATAAAAACAAGGTTGCTAGGCAACACATTACAGTGTCTGATACTGTTATGTTCCGTTTCCCGGAAGCAAATGAGTAATATATTAGTAATACTGAATGACAGGAAAGGTTTTGTTTGGGTTATTGACATTATATAACTTCCCTTCACTCTTTTTACAGGCTTAAGGACTGTCAGCACAGATATGCCGGCGTGTTTAAAAGATATATTCAGTGGATATTGTTTTTTTTTTATTCAAGTGGTTTGTTTTCATTGTTTATTTTTTTTTTGTTTTTTTGCGTATATATACATATTTACATTTTTTCAAATATTGAATAACTACTCCAGCTTTTGTACAAAGGCAAGATTTTTCAAACACTAGAGAAAAGATCATTTGTTTCCGCATACTTGTTCATTATCTTATCAATATAATTGAATGTACGTCTTTTTTCTTCGTTTTCCCTC